TTTTTTTCCCCCAAAGCCCTAGTAGATAGTTGTATGTCATAGTTGCACATCCTTCTAGTTGCTGTATGTGGGACTCGGCCTCAGCATGGCCGGAGAAGCGGTGCGTCGGTGCGCGCCTGGGATCCGAACCCGGGCCGCCAGCAGCGGAGCGCTCGCACTTAACTGCTAAGCCACGGGGCCGGCCCTAGGGGTGTAGATTTAAATGTCCAAAATTTTTTGTTTCCTTTTACTATTTTTAAATGTTTGTTCTGTGATTTTTTCCAGCTTATTTAAGTATAATTGACAAAACTGTAAGACATTTAAAGTGTACAACGTGATGATATGATATATGTATACACTGTGAAAGGATTTTCCCCATCAAGTTAATTAACGCATATGTCACCTCATATATTTATCTTTTTTTGTGTGTCAGAACATTTACGTTCTATTCTCTTAGCAAATTTCAATTATACAATACAGTGTTATCAACTGCAGTCTCCATGTTATACATTAGATCCTCAGACTTTGTTCATCTTATAACTGAAAGTTTGTACCCTTTTACCAATCTCTCCCTATTTCCCCCACTCCCCAGCTTTGTGATTTAAGTACATGCTATAAGGCATGTATATTATTGGTACTTTGAAATTTGCTCTGCCTTTTTTGTGATGACTATGTAGTAAATTGTCATAGATTTTCCATGTGCTCGTGTAAAGAATGGCTATTCTATATTTGTTGTGTATAGGATTCTACTCAGATCTATTAGATCAAACTTATAGTTTCTGTTGTTCAATTTTTTTGTAAGCTTAGTAATTTTTTGCCTCTGGGGTATATTATTTCTTATGGAATTGTGTTAAAATCTCCTGATATTATTTTTAAAGCTATATTGTTTGGTGATGGGAGCACATAATTTTTATATCCTTTTGATTGTATGGTTTTTTAAATAGTTATGATCAGTTCATTTTTAAAAACCACCATTAATGTTTGTTGCTTTAAACACTACTTTGCTGTTATATTGACATGACTGTTTTCTTGTGTGTGTGTATATATCTTTATTTTCAATATTCCAGTGTAATTTTGTTTTAAGCTTATATCTTGTCAGCAGAATATAGATGCATTTTAAAAATCATCCAATTTGGTAATCTCAGTGTTTTAATAGGTAAACTTAGCTCATTTATACATACGCAGAAGCAAAATTTTAAATTATAAGAGCTAAGAAAACTGAAATAACTTACATTATTAATTCAAAGTGTACTCTTGGTACCAAACAGAAGATAAAAATAAAAATCCATGCTTAAGACATACAGCAAGAATGAGAGAAATTTTTTAAATGCCACCAGAGAAAAAACAGAGATTACCTACAAAATAATGACAATTTGTTGACAGAAAATTTCTCATTAGCAATAATAAATCCAAAAGACAATGTGTTTCAAAATTTTGGTTTGTACCTTTATTTTAAGTGGAAGAGCTTTTTTTTTTTTAATTTGCTCTCTCTTCTACTTTCTCCCCCTCTTTTCTTCCCTCCTCAGTTCAGTGCTCTGTCTCTAATGGTTTTGAAATTGTTTCTTCCTGACCCCAGGTCCCAGGCCATAACTAGGTCTTTTAATGGCGCTTTCAAGGTGTGCAGCAGCGGAATTCTGAATATCACAGCTCACGTCTGAGACTTGTGCTCATTTTCTGAAGCCAGAATCTGTACCCACTTCTCTCCCTTGGTCTGCAGCTTGCAACAAGTTATGACCGCAGGAATTGGTAGGCAGCATTTTTATGCGATTTCCCCTTTTAACTAGCTGAGGGGCCTAATTGCTTACTTTGGATTCAAGTAGTAAGCCTGGCTCAGGTCCCTTGTTTAGCTTGAAGCACTTTGTTCCAATTACACTGCTGGAACACTCTCCTGACCTTCAATGCCTGCATCTAGCCAAGACTAGAACTCCACAGCTTTAGCCTGGCTCACCACTTTCTGTTCCATCCTTGTTCCATTTATATATTTATCTTTTATTTGTGGCTTATTATGCTTTTGCTTTCCTCTTTTTATATTTTATTTATCTCTTTAATTTATTGGAGCAGAGTAACTATTTCAAAGCATGGGCTTACTCCCCTATGATGCATTTCTTGTGAAGAGTTAAGATGCACATTAAAATGGAACATATACTTGATTTTTGTTAGTCATTTCCATTACAGACATAATATAGAAGTCAAGAGGCTTCAAAACTATTTCTCAAGTTGCATAGTAAATTTTCTGTCATTCATTTTATTACTTCATTTCATATGTTACTTAAACATTTGATGTTCTTCAGCACACATAAAATATCTCAAAATAAAGGGCTAAGATATTTAACAATAATTGAAATTTGCAGCTTACAAAGATTTCCATATTTTTATATTATCACAACTAAAAATACTACCTTAGACAATCTTTACCTTTTCAAATATCCCCCAATAGCACCCTGACAGATGGCATCTACATTAAATTTAGGGATAAATTAGGAGGTATTTATAACTTAAGGAAATTTTAAAACAGTATTAGTCACATAAATATTGGTGGACCTTTTCTAGTCAAACCCTGTCCTTGCCAGATAAGAAATGGTAAACCCAGCAAAATAAAATTATTCAGCCAGAGGCAGGCAAGAAAATGTTAGAAGCCAGACCTCCTTGTTTCTGATGCAGTGCTCTTTCCACAACCGAGATGGCACCTCACACACATTCTTCATCCCAGCCACCTACATTATGATTAATTATAGTCTCCTTTTCAATGAAAGAACCATTATAAGTATAGCTGGATATAAACACTTAAAAATGATTTCCCAGGATTTGTAAATAGAAATCTACATAGATATATGGTAAATATAAGAACTGTTAGTAGTAAAGAGGGAAATTAAGTAAGTAAACTCAGGAATTACTTTTATCCAGATAGATTTACTACAAAAAGTTTACCTGAGAAAATGTTTTTTTTTTTGTCTTCAAGTAAAGACTGAGGTGCTGATAGAAAATCCTTTTTCTCACAGCTCTCCCAGCTGATGAGCGTGTCTGCATAGTTGGGCTGGGGGAAGATCAGGTGACTCTTTCTCGAGTCTGCGGTGAGGGAGACCTCGTGGGAATAGGTCTGTAGGAAAGCCTGCACCCCATCCATGCCCACAAAGTGTGAGGCAGGCATGCCAGCCAATACACCTCCTGAAGCCTGGTGCAGGCACGACATGTGCCAGCGCCGCAGTCTGAGCGCCAGCAGCAGGATCACAAAGGCGAGGAAAATGCAGGAGACCGCGGTCACAGCGACCAGTAAGTAGAGAGTGAGGCTGGAGTCGTTAGGGTTGGCAGAGGGTTCGAGGCTGCCCAGGTCCGCCAGGACATCTGGGATGCTGTCAGCCACAGCCACTGTGAGCATGATGGTGGTTGAGAGAGGGGGCTGGCCATGGTCCTGGACGGCCACCACCAGGCTCTGTTTGAGCGTGTCTCTGTCCAGCAGGGCCTGCGCTGTGCACACCTTGCCCGTGTGCAGCCCCACCGTGAAGAGCCCTGGCTCGCTGGCCTTGAGCAGGCAGTAGGACAGCTAGGCGTTCTGGCCCGAGTCTCTGTCCACTGCCACCACCTTGGTCACCAGGTAGCCAGGCTCTGCAGAGCGGGGTGCCAGTTCCACACCTGTGGAGCCATCGGTAGGGAGGATGGGGTACAGGATCTCGGGTGCGTTGTCATTCTGGTCCAGCACAAATACACTCAATGATACATTGCTGCTAAGTGGTGGGTCCCCACTGTCACACGCCATCACCCTCAGCTGCAGTTCCCGGAACTGCTCGTAGTCGAAGGATCGCAGCGCATACAGGACACCTGTGTCTGAGTTGATGGAGATGTAGGAGGATAAAGGCGCCTCCTGGATGGTGTCCTCGGCCAGGGAGTAAGTGACTTGTGCATTCTCATTGCTGTCGGCATCGTGGGCTGTCACGGAGAAGACAGAGGCTCCTCTGGGGTTGTTTTCCGGAATGAAGGCGGAGTAGGAATCCTGGGGGAAGGCTGGGGGGTTGTCGTTGTTATCTGTCACTTGCAATGAAATGTGCGTTTCAGTAGATAGAGTTGGAGTTCCCTGATCTGTTGCTGTTACTGTGATGTTGTACCTGGAGGTAAGTTCTCTGTCCAGTGGTCTTTCTGTCACTAAACGGTAATAATTATCAACTAACTTTTCTAATTTAAAGGGTAGATTTTTCAGGAATGTAACATATAGTGTGACTGTTGTCTCCAGAGTCCTGGTCTTGCACACTGATAACAGCAATTATGGCCCCAGGAGGAAAGTTTTCTGGGACTGCAGTAGTGACAGAGGTGATGGTCAGCTCTGGGGCATTATCATCTATATCCAGAACTTTGACCACCACCTTAGCTCTGGCCATGAGGCCTGCACCATCCTGAGCCTGAATTTCCATTGGATACATTTTGTATTCTTCAAAATCCAGGGGTTCTTTATTTGATATTTCTCCTGTGTAAGAATCCAACTGAAATATCTGGGCCACTTTGTGGTCTATATTATGAAAGTAGTACGTTACTTCCCCATTGACTCCTTCATCTGGGTCGGTGGCTTTTACTATGAGCAGCCGAGTGCCCAGCGGCACATTCTCTGGGACACTCACGTGGTACTGTTCTTGAGTAAACACCGGAGGGTTGTCATTTGCATCCACCACCTGAATGCAAATTCGGAGAGTTCCTGAACGAACTGGGTTGCCCCCATCAGAGGCAGTCGGGAGGAGGTGGTGGACAGCTTCTTCTTCCCTATCCAGGGGTCTCTGTAGCACCATCTCTGGGTGTTGGGACCCATTAGCTCCCTGTTGCACATCCAGAAAGAAATGAGGATTGGAGCTGAGCTGGTAGCTCTGGAGTGAATTCATACCCACATCAAGGTCTTGCCCAAAAGGCAGAGGGATCCTGGTGCCTGGAGTGGTTATTTCGTTCATTTTAAATTCTACTTCCTCCAACTGGAATTGGGGAGTGTTGTCATTAATATCAATTATTTCCACTTCAACAGGGAAAAGCTTCATTTTATCCTCTACCAAGATGTTAAAACTCACCAGACACCGCGCGCTCTGAGCGCAGAGCTCCTCCCGGTCTATCCTGCCCACAGTGACCAAGCTGCCGCTTCGCGCATTCAGAGCAAAGAGCTGCGTCCTACCTCTGGAGACGATGCGGACTCTCCGCTCATCCAGCTCCTGGGGTTGTAGCCCCAGGTCTTTGGCGATGTTGCCCACGAAGAAAACTTCATCTGTCTCTTCTGGCACCGAGTAGCGGATCTTCCCGGCCCGGGCTTCCAACAACAGCCCCAGAATAAAGGACAGCAGGACCAGCCTGCTGCCGCCGAGCAGCTTCACGGGAATCGCCATTGCTCTCTTGCTTCGTAGTTTTCTCCTAGCTCTGGTACAAAGGGTACCGTTTCTCTGCTCTTCTGAGCCTAAATTAAACCCATTTTCAAGAGAATTCAGAGCGGAAAGTGGTCCAGAAGCAGGATCTGGGCAGCCTCAGGGAGACTGTTTTCAAACTGGCAGTGATGGAGGTTCTAAAAAGTTATTATTTTTTTTTCTTCTCTGGGCTTGTGTGTGTATGCTGCCTGCATCTTCCAGACTGGTGAACAGCGGCGCCCAGAGTCCTAACCAGTTACTGCACTCCTAGATAATACTTAAATTTTCTCTTCTCATTAAGGTGATTTATCTTTCCTTCAGTTTTAGTTTATTGTCAAGGAAATAGTTAAGCATTCTACAATACATGTATGAAAAGGAGAAACTACTATGTTCACTTAATTAATCATATCTAAATGTTGCTAAATTGCAATATACTGTAGAATCCCAGTATTCCCAGGGTATCTGCTTTCCCTGTTTGCTATTCAGGGAATATCACAAAAAAGGACAAAATCATCCTTCCACTTCTTCTGTAGTATATCTTGACCACCTGATAATTTCCCAAGCCACATAGAAGAGGATGAAAAAAATTGAAGGGAAAAATAAACTTTTAGAATGTAAGCTAGACTTTAAAAAATTGGACTGCCCATTTCCTTTCCATTGTGCTTTGAATATTTATCAGAAACCTTGATATTTTGAAGGACATGTTTTATCCCTATCCTTACGTTTCCTCTTTTTCTGAAGTGTCTATATATTACATGGATTTTAATAGACCTTTAATTTGGGTTTTTCAAAGACCTTTTACTTCACCCAAAGGTAATATATTTTAAATAAAATTACATTGAGCTCTTGGAATTTTACTGGAAAAATGTCACATGAACATCTAATTTAGATTTCAAATTTACAAGACAAAAGAGGTAGTGACATTATTCTTCAAAACTAAAAAGAAAAAGGCCACATCTTTATTTTCCAAAAGCCTTATTAGGATAATATGTATTCTCCTACAATCACACAATATTTTCCCTAAAAGAAGTTGGTTTTATTAAAAAGAAGGATTTTTAAACTAGGTTGCCTTCCTTCTTTTACTCATTGCAAAATTAGGGAAGGTTCCTAAACAAAATGTCTCAGGCTTAGAGTGATTTATTTATTTTTACCGAAAAGTTAGGGAAGAATGTTCTCTGCATTCCACAGGTTGACATTTTCCAGGAACAAATTGGGCCAGATATTGGCAGCCAACCTATGGATACCATGACTGAGAAGGGTCTGGAAAATGAGGAAAGAAAGGAAACAATCAAAGACCACAAGAATAGTTCTTGGAAAGAGAATTTTTGTCTCTGTAGAATCAGAAGGGCAGAAACTTAAAGAGTTCAATATTGCAAGCAAAGGATTCTTTAGCAGGAAACATAATTTTTCAGAACATAAATTAATAGGTACAAATCTTTCCCCAGAGGAATCCTCCAGGCTAATGAGACAAATGAAAATATATATAGAAACTAGCAAGTAAACTTGTAGAGCTCACAGCCCCAATTCCCACAGCCAACAATAAAAAACAAGCAGGATTGATTTACAACAGGATGATATCTATGAAATAAAAGTGTTAAAACTCACATGTATACATTTGAATCCAATGTAATACTTAAGTCTTCATTGCTGGCACTACAGAGAATATCCAGTTGAAAGATGTTTCTTGAGTTAACTTGAAGAAATTAAATTAAGATTTTGAAATATCTGAAGCCACACAAGGATCGTAGGAATAGGGCAAATCTCTCTCCCTGAAGTGGCAGCAACTCCAAATCCAGGCTTGGACCAGAGACCAGGCTGAAAGCAGGGCTGGAGGAACGTAAAAGATGCAAGGGGATGGCCAGAGTCACTGTGAGGAGGAAGAGCACAGAGATCAAGGCCAAGGGCACGACCAGGTAAAACTGTAGCTCTCCTTGCCTGGCGGCAGGTGCCAGGTGGTCACTGAGGTCCAGCAGCAACTCCTGCAAACTGTAGGCAAAGACCAGGTACAGCATGACGACTGTCATGCATACAGTGACCTGCAAGCCCTGGAGAGCAGCATCTCTGTCACCCGCAGCACCACAGCGCACATCTTGCTTTTGTGCATCCCCAGGTTGAAGAGTCGGATTAGGTGGCCTGAAGCATGTGATAGGCCAGCCAGGCATTGCACTCCAGTCAGCATCCACCTTGGTGACCAGGTAGCAGGGCTGTACAATGCGTGGTGCTGCATCAAAGAGGGCTGCGACTTCCCGCTGCAGTTCCTGGCATAGCATCCTCTGTGTGTTTTCAAGGTGGTAGTCCACCATTACAGGCAGGCTCAGGACGACACTGAGCCCAGTCGGACTCTGGCCACGGACCCGTAGAGCCAGCTCAAAGGTAGGGTGCAGTGAACACCACTGTGCTCTGTGCTCATCGACACATGCAATGACAGCACCCACAGCGCTGGGTCACTGGTCAGCAAGAAACAGGAGGCACGGAGGGCACCAAGTCCAGGTCAGACTAGACACCCAGCTGGAAGTCACCTGCCTATATAGCATTATAGTTCTCAACCTCCGTTTCAACCAGGACTCGGAAACAGGCCCTTAAACTGCCTCCAGTCTTCTCTTCTACCACATGATGTAATTCATTCTTCAAAAGCAAAGATGGTGCTGTCGTTATTGGCCAGTAGATATATTCTGTACGCCCTGTGAGATTGTGTAGAAAGTGTAGAACTCCACCTTAAAGGGTGTCATCTAGGTCAGTGCGGATCACCTGAAGAATGCAGACAAGGAGGTGGAGGGCAGGTTCTCCTGCAGGCGGACTCTGCTGTACTCCTGTGGCTCAGTTTGGGAGGACTGGCTTTGGCATCCACGACCCAAATCTCTCCCTGAGCTGTTCTGCCCCCTCCGCACCATTAAGTGGTGGCAGCTCTGCTCCTCTGGTCCAGATTTCTCCAGTAGCAACCAGAATATTTACTGGCCTAGTGCTCTCTTACTTCTGGGAGCAAGAGAGATGGTTACTGAAACTAATCTGATAAATTTGTACAGAATTACTTGCAGGGTTTAGGAGTAAACTTTGTTCCTATTAAGATGTTTTCCAGAATTTTCAAAACAAAATGTCTGCAGTAAAAGCCATATGTTATTTCTATCTAGGATGAATACCTTTATATTAGAAGTATTTATAGGATTTTCAGTGAACATGTCAGATTCAAGGGGCCTAGGGACTTCCGCTGGCATATCCGCTAGATCTATCCTGTCATTCTCAGTTCGTCCCTGCTCTCTTAGCTGGCGGTAAAGACAGGCTTCTCAGCGCTCACTCATGGTTCTTTTCACGGAGACGCAGATCTTTGGCGAGATTTCCCCCTTTTAAAGCCCGCTGTCTCTTCCGGAAGTAGCGCGTCTGCTACGTAGTTCATTAGGCTGAACAAAGACAGCAGGAGGGGAAACAGCGCTTCCTGCGCTCTGCGCACCTTCCCTGTAGGAGACTTCTTCCTGTTTCTTCTTGTTGCTGCTTCTCAGATCCGGATACACCTCGCTGCGGTTGCTCCCGGATTACAAAGGTGCTCTGGAAAAAAAAGGCAGCGCCTCATTTGGGGTCATTAAACATCCTGGCGTTCCTGCCCCCGTTATTTGGACCAGATGGCGGGAGAGATGGCGAGCAGAGTCCGCTCCTGATGTGTTTCTCCAAAGTCTGCGGGGATCGCTGCGTCAGAATCGTCGGAGGATTGCTTTGTTTCACTCTAGCCACGGACTGGCCGACAGCGGCACCCAGAGGCCCGGTACATATCTACCGCATGTTATTTCTGAAAGTCCTCACCGGAGACTGTATGTATGTATTGGCTTTATTTCCGGGACTCATCTTAGAAAACCAGCTGGTTTAGTACAAAGACTGCAAGTCATTATTTCCTTTTGACAAAATACTAATACAATGGTCTTTCCAGAAAATTTAAATCAAACATCTTAATTTATTAAAAATCACATTGACTTAAAATAAGAATTCTTACAGAATTTTCCCTCTTGACATTTCCTTTTGAAGATGACACACTATTGAAGCTTCTTTTTCTTAAAAATTTTTTACTCAAGAAATTATCCATTGTAAAAAGAATTTTACATTACAAAAAGAAATTCTCACTGTAAATTCTACAAAATAAATTTTCATTATAAAAAGATAGAAAATACTGATAAAATTTTAAAATCACCAGTAATCGCATTATATAATTACTGATATAGAGAATTTATATTTGATGCCTATCCATACTTTTTAAGTACATAGATACTTTTTTCTTTTTTTATTGATGTCATAATAGTTTATAACATTGTGAAATTTCAGTTGTGCATTATTATTTGTCAGTCACCATATAAATGCACCCCATCACCCCTTGTGCCCACCCCCCAACACCCTTCCCCCTGGTAACCACCAAACTGTTCTCTCTGTCCATGTGTTAGTTTATCTTCCACATATGAGTGAAATCATACAATGTTTGTCTTTCTCTGTCTGGCTTATTTCGCTTAACATAATACCCTCCAAGTCCCTCCATGTTGTTGCAAATGGGACAATTTTGTCTTTTTTATGGCTGAGTAGTATTCCATTGTATATATATACCACATCTTCTTTATCTAATCATCAGTCGAGGGACACTTGGGTTGCTTCCACTTCTTGGCTATAGTGAATAATGCTGCAATGAACATAGGGGTGCGTAAGCCTCTTTGGATTGTTGATATCAAGTTCTTTGGATAAATACCCAGTAGTGGGATAGCTGGCTCATAAGGTATTTCTATTTTTAACTTTATGAGGAATCTCCATACTGTTTTCTGTAGAGGCTGCACCAGTTTGCATTTGCACCAGCAGTGAATGAGGGTTCCCTTTTCTCCACAACCTCTCCAACATTTATTTTTTTGTCTTGGTGATTATAGCCATTATAATGGCTGTAAGGTGATATGTCACCGTAGTTTTGATTTGCATTTCCCTGATGATTAGTGATGTCAAACATCTTTTCATGTGCCTATTGGCCATCTGTATATCTTCCTTGGGAAAATGTCTGTTCATATCCTCTGCCCATTTTTTGATCAGGTTGTTTGTTTTTTGTGGTTCAGTTGTGTGAGTTCTTTATATATTATGGAGATTAACCCCTTGTCAGATATATGATTTGCAAATATTTCTCCCAGCTGGTAGGTCTTTTTTCTTTTTTTATTGTGGTAAAATACGCATAACATAAAATTTACCATCTTAACCATTTTTAAGTGTACAGTTCAGAGGTGTTAAATACATTCATAATGTTGTACAACCATCACTACCATGAACTCTTTTCATCTTGTAAAACTGAAACCTATACTCATTAAATGATAACTCTTCATTCTCTCCTCTCTCCAGCCCCTGGCAAACACCATTCTACTTTCTGTCTCTATGATTTTGACTACCCTAAATATCTCATATAAATGGAATCATACAGGATTTGTCTTTTTGTAACTGGCTTATTTTACATAGCATGAAATCGTTAAGGTTCTTCCATGTTGTAGCATATGTCATAATTTCCTTACTTTTCAATGCTAAATAATATTCCATTGTATGTATGTACCACATTTTGCTTATCCATT